GGCCGCGGAACACGACGACGGAGTAAGGGGGGGGGGAAATACGAAGAAAAATCGAGTCCGATTAGAAAAACAAAAAAAAAAAAAAACATTCTAAATGGTAATCGAGACACGCGCGTAAAATAATAATAACAATAATAATAGTACCTAATAATAATATGATAATACGGGCGGCGGCGGCGGCGGCGGCGGAGGAGTGGCCCGCGTGATTTATCGATTTCGCGCGCGCGTCCGTGTAAATGTTTGTGTACGGCGCGCAACAATACGCCGCGCCACCGCCGTCGCCGGACGGGCGTGTCTTATTATGCGTAATTAATAATTTTTTTTTTTCGCTCGCGGGCGGCCCCGACGATTCGGTGTATTATATTTTTTTATTATTATTATTGTTATTTTTTTTTTTTTGTTATTTTCCTATTCCCGGCGACGCCGTCGTCGCCGCGTGAGAAGTCACGTGCCGCATACGATACGATTTCGCCGGTCTACATTACAATATTATTACTGTTCTCGTACGATATTATTATTTTCGAGTTTCGCACCGACCCCCCAAGCCCCCGCCCCCTCCCGTCCTCTTCCCGGTGTGTTTTTATACATAGTTTATTTATTTATTTTTTTTTTCAGACTGGGCGGTTTGTATTATTATTAGGTATTATAAATTATCGTCGCGTGTGACTGTCCGACGACGACGACAACGACGACGACGACGACGACGGTATATACGCGATGTAAATATTCTCTATCAGCGACGGTCTCGTCCGCGGGCGTAACATTATACTCCCAATCAACTGGGATGGGATGGGTGGCGAGGCTAAAGTCCTTGACCGTTTTCACCGAACGGCGTTTAAATTTTGAATTACGAATTACATACATATAAGCAGTTTAATAAGTAATAATACTGTTTACCTAGCATTAAATTGCAGATAATAACTATAAGATTAATGTAAACGCGAAAAACAAATAAATATTCAACATCGTATAATATAATATATTGAACTCAGCGGCGGACCCAGGGGAGAGGATAATGGGAGCGGTCGCTCCCCCTTCCCCAAAGCCGTACATTCTCCAATAAACTTTAGCCACCACTGTACTTTTTAGTTGAGTTCATCATAAATGTGTGCCTTGTATGGATTTTCAAAATCGCGTCCCTCCTCCCCCCCATTTATCTTGTTTTGGACCCTACCCAGAGTCAACACAAATATGTACAATATATAGTCTTTGAGCATTCCTAGTCTTAGAGCCGTGTTAAACCATTTGGCACGCTGGGGCGTCGGTTTTTAAGCGCCATCCTCTAAGGCTTTATCTGTCAATGACTTGGGGGATCGATCCCCCCGAATTTGTTGGGTTTTTTTTACAATTTTATTAAATTCGTATTAAAATTTCGATAATTTACTCCCAACAAACACGGTTCTTCCTTACTCTTGAATTTTTTTCTAGGTACACATACTATATTCCATGTCGTACTTAAGCTCTTCTAATTTACCTAACAATATTCATTATTACTCGAAGAGAAGCGTTCGTAAACAACACATCTAACCAGTGATGTAATATCGATAATATTGATATTATATCGAGCTGGGCCATAGCTATGGTAGATATGGAAAACTTTTGCGACGGGGAAAATGCCTGCATTGCTCCCTTAAATAGTGTGACCGGTTCACGAGTTTAGATGTCAGTTTGATAACGGTTTTAGATGTTTCAGCGATTGTTGTATAATTGTTTGATGACTGAACGCATTTTTCGACAACCAGATTGCCGGAATTGGCAAACAATTAAGCACTACGTTCACTGCCTCCGGTTACTGTTGATCCGTTGATCAAATACGTACTGTACAGTAAAAAAAAAAAAAAAAAAAATACTTATTTGCCATGTCGTAACCAATAAGTAGCAAACAATGCGGCACGTTGTGCTAGTGTTTAACGCACTGCGAAAACACGCCTAAATTTATCTACATATATATTCTATCAAAGTTGATCAGTCAACAAACGTTCGATGTACACGACGTCTACATTTGGTACACACATTCAAATGTGTTAACACTGTTAACAATATGTTTACACAATAATATGAAACGTGCGGTAAAATTATAACTATTATCACAACGCAAAGTCCAATTTATATTGTACTATATATTTGAATACAGTTACGCGCGATTGTCGGCAGTTCATCAATCATTCCTTCCAATTTATAACATTTCGTATATTATTATCCTTATCATCTATCATTCTATAAACTGTTGCGTTAAACGCAATAGCGCAGTGTTTTTAGTGAAATAATAATTTCCGTATTTTCGGTCGTGGCCCATTGGAATGCCGTCGAAATTTAAAGGTCAATAATATGACGTGACCTATACCGTCAAATGTTTGGTATTTTATGTTATTACATAATTTAACACACTGGACAAGAGTCGGCATGTAATTTCTATTGGAGTCTGATTAAAATAACAAATAAACGTTGTCTTTGAGAAAAAAAAGTAGCAATTATTATTTTGTCTACTACTTAATACACAAACAAATTAACTATACGCAAAAAAATAGTATTAAAAATGTTATTTAATTTAATTGCATTATTTTCCTTGTTCAGTTTTTTTTTTTTTTTTTTTAATTAGGAATTCGGGGTGAACAGGTTATACGCAATGTCTTTGATGTGAGATGATGCTAATTTTGTTGAATACTTGTTTTTAAAAAATTAACTTTTAAAAATTACGTTTCATAAATTTTCGTATGTTGACCCAATTACACTAGACAGGTTGATTTATAATTTTTAATGCAGTTGATATATATCATTTTTGTACATTTTCAAGGAAACATCTTGCTGAAGGTCGATTGTTTCTATTATCTACAGTAATCTACTGTAAAAATACTTGCCCGACATGAGATATTGATAATGACCTATATGATACGACCATAGTCCGAGTTTGATAGATTAAATACAATTTGCTTTAAATTAATTATTACAAATATCTCCTTGTGGGAGGGGGTCAAAATACTCCTACGGTACCTCTACCTATCGTAAAGGTCACAAATGGCGTTACGTCAGGTTGACAACCAGTAAAAAATTCTGTCAAACAGTATGAGGAGGGTTCTAATCAAGACTTTAATAGATAGGTCCATCTCTGATATGCGCGGAGACAATAGGTGAGTGGAGATAAGTATAATGGTGCAGAATAGTTTAGAGACGATATAACTTTGATAGGATAAAACCTGGAATAAGTCAAAAAAAAAAGGCTTAAGGGGTGGAGAGTAACACTTGAAGGAACTAAGGATACCTAGAAATAAAATAGAATATGCGCTTGGAGAAACAATACAAGACAGCGAACGACAATAAGTGATAATAGACGTTGAGGTTAAGAGTTTTAAGTGTCTAGGCTCTTTCGTACAAAAGTACGGTGGCTATCATGAGTATGTAAAATATAGGATTACGTGTGTTTGGATAAAGTAAAGAGAAGTGTCAGGTGATTGATGTTTTATGTGACTTAGAGAATTTAGAGAATTTCAATGAGACTTAAAATTAAGTCATGCGGAAGTATAGTGAGACCGATAAGTTGTATAGTTTGGAGTCTTGGGCTATAGATAGGAAAATAGAACAGAGAATTAGTATAGCAAAGATAAGAATGCTTAGTTGGGTGAGTGGAGTGACAAGAGAAGATAGGATAAGGATATGAGTACACAAGAGGTAGATAAAGCGTGGCTCCAAAATTAGACAAAATTAGAGAAAATAGGCTGGGGCGGTTAGAGCACGACATGGGATTTCATCGTAATGAAAATAAACGTAGGAGCAAATTGGTAGAGAGGAAGACTGAAAAAGAGACGGTTGGATGCGATTGAGAATGATATGAGGACGGTCGATAAATACAAGATGGGAGATTTGGTAAAGTGGAAGTTCAGAATGAGGGTGGCGGACCCCTACAAATAATTCTGACGAAAACAAAGGAGAAGAAGAATAATAATTACTATAAAAACGATTTTAAATGCAAATAATATAACGTTAAAGTGAGATAGGGCCAGATTCCGGCAGCGGTCCGGTTTTCAGATACACTCGGCATGCAGCGACATCCGTCTTCGAAAATCCGATTGGTGGCGGCAAGCATAGGCGTAGGATACGGGAGGGGGAGCTATGTTCTCCTCCGAAATCTTCTCAAGCTCCATCAACATCTCTAACGGCTTCCCTGAAAACGAGCACGCAGTAAAAGGTTTTCTCGTTACTCTTTAAGATTCTGATTGGAGCGAGGAATACATTGGTTTTACAATGACGTTTTTTTTTTTTTTCTGTAAACAACTTTTCTATCAATAATTTAGCTTCAATTTACAATGATAGTACTTTTTCTGTAAGGAAATCTGACTGGTGCGGTATTTCGGGGAGTTCAATTTTTGATTTTCTCGGAAGTTTTCCAAATAAATTGGAAAAAGGTGAAAACAGGTGCAATATTAAACAGACATTTCTGAAGAGAATGTTTAATGCATACATAATTGTTTTACCATAATATGACAATTGTTGACGAAGCAACACTATCGACCGGACTCCACTCAGAATCGTTTTTCGTTTGCAATGGTGAATCGTTGCGTACACGTGTACATGCGGTTGCCGTCTGCATCTTGCCTTCGCACAGCTTTTATTTTTCTTAACAATAGTGCGCGGCACGAGTGCATTTCAGTCCCCCCCCCCCCCCATTAGCTCCGCGTCCTGCGTCTACGGCGTGAACGGGCTGCGTATTAATCGGGAATACCGTACCTATTTTTTTCGTTTTGTTTTTCGTATTTATTTATTCTTTTTCAATGTTCTTTCGGGAATCAATAATGTCATGTCGATCGCGCGGACGAACGCGATATTCCGCGGCCGTAATCGGCCGCGGCGGCGGATATCGCGTCCCCGACGGGACAATAATAATAACAATATCGAGTCCGCGCAAATCACGCGCGCGCCCGTTCGCCGTCCGTACGATAATAATATTATTATTATTATTATTATTGTTATTATTGTAGTCCTGCAGGATTTACATGCCGTAATGAAAACCGCGGCGACAATAATAATAATAATAATAATAATCCTCGGAGACCCGATTATTATTATTATTATTATTATTATCGCCGTTGCCGTCACCGCTCCTGTAAATGGAAACGTCCTCTCGCGCGAATCCAATTATCGTATAATACAATGCGCCCGAGTGTAACGGATTTTCTGTTGAATTCGTAACGCGCGGCGGCGGCGGCGGGTATGCGGACGATGATGAACTGTTGATTGCCCGGGCGCGTTTGACGCGGACGGGCGACGACGGCGACGAGGGGCGGAATATTTTATCGTTTACGATTAGAAATACGATTCGTTTCGGTTCCCTCCCTGCCGAAAATAAAAAAAAAAAAAACACAACGATAAATTAAACGATATCGACCGAAATTGCATTTAATATTATCGTTGTTATTATTTCGGCACGAAACGTTTTAAACGATAGTTCCCCGTACACGTCATGTTTCGGAAAGTTGTTCGTAACCGATTTGCGTTCGGAGGAATGAAGACGTGTTTTTTTTTTTTCTTTTTTTCTTTTTTTTTACGTAAAGTTCCCCCGGCCCGTTCTTGAGTAATTGTACGCAGATTAAACGCCCGGTCTGTCGGTACTTTTTTTTTTTTTATCGGACAAAGACGTTACATTTCTCCGGTTCGTATTGCGCGTTTATTGTCAATTGTCACTTACAATTAACCATTATTGTGATATCCCGGACGGTCACCGAACGAGATGTACGACGGGAATCGTGAATTTCACCGCCGTCGGTTCCGACATTCGAAAACCGTCGAGTACGCTGCGCGGGAACTCTAGCGACGGCGCCCGCGACGCGCCGCTGAACAGCCGTCCCGTCGTCTTTTACCCCGGAGCGACGTTCCTGGTGGACGCGGCCGTTCGCCGATGGAAAACGAAAAGGGCGCGTCGTCTCGTTTACAACCGAGACCAACAACGGCCTCGGTCCGACGCGCACGGAATTCGGAACGCGCGCGCCGCGTGAAAACGTTGCGCGGTATCGCGACCGGATCAAAAGTCGCCGTCGCCTGCGCAGCGACGTTACGCCGCGAAATCGCGATGAAACGGCCGCGTTGGTTTTCCGCCCACGCGCGTCTGTGACCAGCTACGTCCAATACGTCCAACCGCGACGTTATTGGTATTGTTGTTCTCCTGTGCGCGCGTATCGATTAGCACCGGGAATCGCGTGTGCGTCTACAATATTGTTGCGAGAGTTAACGGTCGTTATCGTATCGTAGACGGACGGCTGTGGTGCGTTACAGAGATAAGGTCAAAAACGTCAATGATCCTGTCTATACGCGCATACAGTATGGGCGTATTATAAGTATTGCCGACCGGACTCACAAACTCTCAGATTACACAAAGAGCCGCTCGAAAACGTTTACAAAAAAAAAAAAAAATCAAAAACAAAATTAGAGGTGCCCTTGTCCTTTTTTTTTTTTTTTTTGTTTTTTTTTTCTCGGGACATTTTTCGGTTTGTACAAGAAAGCTCCGTACCGTTCGCGGCACACGTTTAAACTTTAAACGCACGGATTTTTCGTTCGATTACACTTTTTTTGAACGAAATGCCTAGGTTCCTAACAGTATTTCACTACAATTTTTGAAAAAAAAATCTAACAACAAATGCCGTTACAACGGTTTTATTTCTTGTTTATTTCTGCGTTACCTTGCAGGCTACGAGACGAAATACACGACTAATCCTAATCCGTTTAAAATTGTTTTATGATTGCGGTGATTTATTGTTGCGTGTAACCTAAATTGTCCTGCTAATTTAATTTTAACACAATATTATTGTTTACACTATTCGCAATGCTATTATACCGTATACATTTTTTTTTTTTTTTTTGTTTATTTTTTTTCACTCGATAGGTAATAATTTGTGCGGAATAATATAAGTAATTCGATATTCCCGGTTAAATAAACCCCATGTGTTTAACGCGTTGATTAGGATGATTTTCGACAATTCGCAAACTACGGGTTTTTAATCGTTTTCACCACGCGACATTGGCGATTTCACAGAAAGAATAAAAAAACCACAGAAATTAACTTGACCCAAAAATTATAAATATAGTTAATCGAATGTTTAAATTAACTGTTAGCTAATATCATACACTTGACCATTAACGTGTAAACTCGTTCACTTTTATTTTTATTTTTTTTTATCGACTTAATAGGTATTAATTCGGTATTATTTTTTTGCAGGCATTATTTACCTAGTCACTATTATTTGCTATCTCGTCAAGTATTGAATTTGAGTGATTATCCAATTATGGAGTAACAAACAATATTTTAAATTTTAAATAAATTCTATATAAACACGTATATGCGTGGTGCACTGGTGCCGCAATATCGATAGTGACATGGCAAATAAGCGACATAATTCACAGTTTTCAGGAGAGTCAACAAAACATTAATTTGTGATTTTTTTTTTGGTTGGTAATAACTTTTTTTCGGTCGGAATAGGGATTTTTTCATTGAATACTTTTTGTTTGTTTGTACGTCATTAGTACGAATACGCAGTGGCGTACCCGGGAATTTTCACTGAGAGGGGATATAGCAAAACAATAATCGTGAATAAATTGTAAAATCGTCTTCTCTATACCTAACTCGACTGTGGGAATCAACGATTAAGAAGCCGGATCTTAAAAAAAGCCAATTTCTTATCAATACATTAAGGTTTTCTTCGTGACTCGGCTGAAATATTAGTTAAATCGTATTTTTTTTTGTATTTTCAAGCCAATGGGAGGGATATAACCCCTAACCTACCGCCCCCCTGCGCACGCCACTTTGAATACGCATTGTTGATTAGTTTTTGTTGTCGTTTAAACCCTATAATAATCGATAAGACAAAATAAAAAGTATCGCTTATGTACTAAACTCAAAATTCAAATTGCTTGTTAAATAATGGTCACAGCTATTTTCGCGCACGCGCACGAACGAAACACGTATTATTCCATCCAATACAGTGAAACCGTATAGCTTAGACCCGAAGTATCGCTTAGAGCCTTTTGCCGTGTCATTATCGATATCATGTTTGACGTTGACATGGCGATTTTGAGATATTACCCGTAGACTCTGTATAAATTGATGATAATTTAATTTTTTTAACCCATTTATTTGTGTATTGATTCACTGAAAAGCTGCTAATTTTCGTATTACTCGCAGTATCGAAATAATAGGTCCGTAATATTATATTAAAACCACTTGCATAGGTATAATCAGTCGCTGGTTGCGTTAACAAAAATACACGATCTGTAAACATATTATAGTATTTGGGTGTGTTGAAAATGTAATTTCATAAAATACTTTATAGAATTATTGATACAGAAAAAAAAATCATCGCACAGTATCAAAACTGACGCGTAACGAGATACATAAATATGTTTATAGGTACGCTCGAATCGGTTATTAATTAAAACGAATGTAATCCGAAAATTTTTGAAATACACGCATGGAAATGACACGGTGTAGGTGCCGATTGTAAAATTATTTTTTAAATTCCACGTTATAATTTTATAAGCGATTGCGAGTATAATTTTATCACGATTATTTAAAAGCAGTATCGGAGAAACGTCACTAACATTTAGCCAAAATTAACGGAAACTGCTCATTTTCGTTTAAAGAATGAATACAGAAATTATGTATAGTAACATCTTCTCTCCTCGGAATCTATTATAGTTATTGTTTTAATTAATTAACTTTCGAACGCTTTCGACAACAGTGTTTAATAAAACTTCGAAACTCTGTGTGTAAATTATGTTTTCGAACGAAACAGCTCGTGTAGTTTTCGCGATCGTTATGTAATGTCTTCCGAAAACAAAACAATATCGCTGTAAAATAATCTACAAACACCCTGTATACACTGTTTTATCGCTCTGGACAAAATGCATTGCGATTATAATGTCCCATATTATAATATATTGTATGTACGCCATTTTACCTATTTTAGAATTGGCTATACAATAATAGAACGGAATGATGTTTTATAGTATTCCGTACACGATAAAAAACGTAAATGATGTGCCGATACAGTTGCGGGTATACGGCGGTAATAGTAAATAAGAAAGAAAAAATGTAATGCGTGTTTGGAAAAAAAAAAATAAATAAAAAAACAATCGCATTATAGTTTTACCGGCGAATATAGCGTACTGCGTTTGTTTAAACCTATTATGTATCGAGATAGCCGTAGCAGCAGTACGAGTTTAAATACAATAACAACAAGGGTTTTATGTTTATACGCGTATGTCTCAATAAAACACGAAAGTGGGTCAAACGTAGAAAAAAAAAATAAATATTATAAAAATACCCAATTTTTTATTGTTGAAATTGATTTATAGAATATTTCGTCGGTATCTATAATATCGTACGTAGTGTTTAGATGTATTATAGATTAGTTTTCGGTTACGGACAATACGAGATAGTGGGACCGTTTTTGTACGTACGCTATTATTTTACGAAACGCCGCTTGGACGAGTCAATTCAAGAAGATTCACGTGGGGTACTGCAGCGAATGAGTGATTAATTATCACAATAAAGCAGGGGTGGCCAAACGGTCGATCGCAGATGATTTGAATGTCGATATGCCGTTTCGTTAGAATTTATTTTTACGTGATTGTCAGATAAATAACGATTGCTGATCACGTATACGATCAAGTAATACGATTCATCGGAGTTTATCCCGGCAATTGTATTGACAATAATATTATTATATTGGTCTTAATAATCTATAGTGTGATAGAAAACATAATTTAACTGTGCATTTTATTTTAATTATTCTGTACGTGTATGTTTTTTGTTGATGCCTATTAGGTAGGTAATTTATGAATATACATTTTCGTTCGGAAGTCGATTCTCAAAAGAAAACTATATTCATAGTAATCTCTACAAAAAAAAAAAAAAAAAAAACCGGCCACCCTTGTTATATAGGTTTAACGTGGTGTGTACATTTTTCCTCGGAAAACACTTCTTCGACCCGTAAAAATGTCTCAAACTGTTTGTTCCGTACTTTGAAAGATGCGGATTTGTCGTTAGATAATATGTAATTTATTTAAAATTAAAAAAGAAGCTGACAACAAAACGACGACGTAATGT